AGTTTCCCTTGGCCATGTCTTTGGTTGCGCGGTTTGTTGCCACAGCGTGCCACGTCACTGGGAGGTACGGATAAGCAGAAGGGTTTGGTTTGCGAGGGTTTGTGGAGCAGCCGACGGGTCCTTAATAGTGATAGTCTTGTTTTTGCTTCAGATGCGTCGGGTGGACCAGGTGCCCGTGACCACCGCGCGGCATGTGTTGCTTGGGCCATTGCGGCGTATGAGCTTGCACCGGACGGGCCGAAGCGTGTTGCTAGCATCACCTGTTTTCCTGAAGAGCCCCTGTCGGTGGCCAGTGCGGAGCAACAGGCTGCTTTTGAGCTCTTTGGTCGTGTCTCCGGTGCTTTCGACTTGACGGTGGACTGTCAGGCCATCACACACATTTTACGGAAAAGCTTGCCGCCCCTTGAAGGCCCGGTCCCTTGGGGTGAAATTTGGGGTGACAGGTCAAGGGCTAATATCACTTGGGTGCCCAGTCATAAAGACTCTTCCTATTATGCCGATAAAGGCATCCCTGAATGGCGGCGTTTGCTGAACGAGGATGTTGATTCTTTATGTGGCAAAAGGGCTGCGCAAGTGTTCCAATCAGCGACTAAGCCGAATCTTCCTGTTCTGGATGGGCTCTGTGAAGAAATTTGTCTGCACCTGGCTAAGAAAATTGGCTATGTCCTCAAGCACAAAAAAGATAAGGGTTTCCCTTGGGTTTTTGATAGGTGCCTCAATTCCCAGCCTTCGCCCCAGGATGCTAAGCCCTCGATCGTTTCCCAGGGCAAGTTTGATAAGCCCAAAGGCGGGTCCAAGCCCAGCAGTCAGCCCAAACCCAACAAAAAACAACGCCTTAAGGAGGCTCTCGCCAACCCGGACCCTGGGCTGGGTCATGTTTGGAAGGATTGCGAGGCCAAAGCCAGCAATAACTTTGCGATCCAGTGCACCGTTTGCCAGCTTTATGTGGAGCAGTGTAACCCTCCTGAGGTTTTTGATCGCAAAATGTCCAATCCTTGTCGCGACAGAGCTGCCCCGGTTCCCGCCTGCTGGGGCATACATGGCAGTCATGACATGGTTAATAAGGGTTCTTTCTTTATGTGCTCCAAGTGTCTTGCCATGGTTAAACTTGGTGCCACCTCGTCGTCGTCGGTCTTGAAGTCCACTTGCAAAGGGCTCGGGCGTAAACTTAACGCCCAAACGAGAGTGCGTTCCATGGCCCAGGTTGAAGCTGATACGAGCCGGTCCATTGAGGAATCCTTTGAGGCCAAAGAGTCAATCCCTGCGGAGGTTGTGCAGCAAGGCGGTGGCAGTTCTGTTTCCCCTTGCTCTGCCCAACCTAAGCCCAAACCTAAGGGCAAGCCCAAAGCCAAGTCTAAGGACACATCCAAACAGACCCGTTTGTCGTTTCGGTGAGCTTCTTTCTCGGGCTGTTTCGAGGGTTGGGCTAGGGTTTCCAAAAAAAAAAAAAGCAAACCTCAAACATGTCTTGGTGGAAGCTGGAGTGCGCTTGCTGGCTGCACCCGTGTCGTTGGCGGTCCAAGGTGGTCATGCGGCTGTTGGCTGCAACACCGCTCGCCGTGGCTTTCATCTGATGTATGCTAGCCTTCCGCAGTTAATTTGCTGCCCTACAGGTCACATGCTCGGTGTGCGCTGTTGGCTGCACCCGCCTGTATTGCCTTAGGGTTAAGGGTTTTAGGCTAGCCCCGCCGGTTGTTGGGTGTGATTGCATGCTTCCTTGCCTGGTTGATGAATATGCATTACCCGACTTCGGGCCTTAGCAACAGAACAACTGTGATGTTTTGTAATGGCCTGGTAACATCAGGCCACGGGGCAGATCAGTCTTGGCCTTGGAGCCGCGCGAATCCTTTCTGCCGCACGGGAAGAAAATCCCATTTAAACCTACGCCAAAACAAGCCAAGTTGTCCTTTACGCGAGCACCGTGGTTGAGATGTGCCGCTTTTGCGCCTTGCTGGCTGCATTAGCGCTGCCTTCCACTTGAGCCTGCTAGGCGCTTGGTTTGCAATAAAATTAGGTGTAAGTGTAACTCTTGTTACGCGGTCACGTGTATGTGGCCTTGGCCACTGCAGCTGCTGCCTGTGCTGGCACTGTCCTTGCATGCGCTCCCATGGTGAGCAGCAGTCGGGTATCACCCGGTGGTTTGATGAATATGTGCACTTCTTCCTAAGGCCACCCTCAATGCCTTCAGCTGCTACCTGTGCTGGGCATGGTTCTGGTTTTCTGGTTCGAAACTTGTCAAAAACTACGCTGGAAACTCACAAGTGATGGCGTGGGCACTTGGCATGCGATCACTTGTTGGCGCTGTGTACAGTCGGCGGTAGTTTGTTAGGTGTAGAAAGTGTACAAAGGCTGCTGCTGCGGGTTTTCGGCGAACTCTCTTACAGAAGTTGCCATTCTGGCAACACCAGGGCCTCAAGCTGCACAGCTCTGCTCGTATGCAGGGCTCCTTGACCTCAGGCACACCAGTCACGTGTCACACTGGTGCAGACGTCCTTGTAAGGATTGGATTGCGAGGTGGCTTGCCGTGCATGCCCGTTGAATTTGTCGGCTCCCACCCGCCTGCTTCGTGGTCCAGCTAGCTCACGCGTGCAACAGCAAGACTCTATGGCCTGTGGGCAGTAGAGTTTTGCTTCCGTAGCTAGGCTGTCAGATCCGTAGCTCTGCTAGTTGCTTTCTTGTACTGTTAGGCCTTGGAGCCGCGTGTATTTTGCGACGCTCGGGAAGAAAAGTTTGCTCCTTTTAGGTGTGCCCTTGAGTACCGACATGCTTGTTTTGCGCATGAGAAAGGGTTTCATCCTTTTTGCCTTGAACTGTTGTTTTGGAAGCTTGAACAGGCATTTGCATGGCGAACACATGTTTTAGCATGTTTGCACTTGTCTTGAAGACCATGATGAGCGCTTACAGCACTAGAGATGCTTTTGGGCATCCTTGAAGAAGTGCGTGTTGCTCTGACTGCACTGTTGCTGTTTTCCGCCGACCCTCGCTTCGCTCGTGCCTGTGGGAACAGGCCAAGGGACAGAGTGGCTGTGCACTGCTGTTTGAGTGAGTACAGAAGTCCTGAGAAGTGTTAGGACAGTTGCATGTCATTCCTCCTTTGTTTAGCAAAGTTGAGACGGAATTTGCTGCGCGAGACTCCGCAAGAGACCTTGCTGAACACTTCGGTGTTTGGCTCAAGCGTGGAGTGAAAAAAGACTTGCTCTGCGTTCTTCACACAGAGTCGTTGCGACTCAAGGTCACCGCATTGGCCAACCACTGCTTTAGCGCGCCCGACAGGAAGTCCCACTGCAGGCCATTGCGCCAAAGGCCGGAGAGACGCTAACACTGCCAAATTGCCTGGTCAAGTGCGACTTCTGGGCAAGGTTCTGAAGTGGTGTCAGCCTTTCAAATCGAACAGGTGATGTGTCCAGCTTGTTGTCGGACCGACTCCCATCCGAAGATGTGGAAAGGAAAGAACCACAACGACGTATGTTGTCGGTTTCACCGGCACAAGTCTTGCGGTGTCCGTGTTGTTGCAACGCAAGTGGCCAAAAAGGCCGGAGTCCATGGCAGTACAGAAGTGTGCGGTCAAGTCCAGCAAGCAAAAGGGCACCGTGCAGCACCTTGGCCCGTATTCCGCGTAGGCCGACGTAAATGACCGCTAAAACGCCATTGAAAGCCGATCCCGCTTAAAGGTCATACCGGTGCCCAATGAAATGGATCACCCGACGTTGGAGAACTGCCAGGTGCAAAGATCCCAGTGGTGTTGAGAGCGGACCAGTGCTCTTACTCGTGGATGATTAAGCAAATCAATGCCCGAGAACCGACGTGGGCAGAAGTTTCGCTCCAACACTTGCCACAATGCAGGAGCAACTGCATCGTTCCGCCCACTGCTTGCGTAGGCGGCTTCAAGCAGGGAAGTACAATGACAGGCAAGCAACTTGCAACGGAAACTGGCGTTGCGGACACACCCAAGAGAGACAAACCCAATAGCGCAAAGGCGCCGCAGAGAAGCAACGCCACGTGAACGCCAAGGCGGCCACAAACGTGCAGAACACACGAGTGGCGGCAGCAGCAAAGAGAAGACACCATGCAGAGGTGGCAACCAGCACAATTGCAGGTGAGGAGGGAAGCAACGTGTCTTGCAAGTTGGCGGCAGAGCATGTGTAAGATCGTCAGCGTCTGTAGTCGCTTGTAAAAGCACTTTCGCTTGTGAGTGTTTTGCTTCGGGAACGGTTTCAAGGTTTGGTTGGGAATCTTGATGATCCCAAGGTTTGATATGAAACCTTCCGGGTACATTTGAGAATCTTCAATCTCAAAGTGTACCTTAGTTGCTGTTGAGGACTCCTTGATGGATCCTCAGTGGTATGTTTATATCCCACAAGATTTACTTCGTAAATCTCTGTGTGGTTAGAGCCCAATACGCTATAATTCGTTTGTTTGAATTCGTTTCCACACTTACGTGTGAAGTCTGACGCACTCCGTGAACTTTGGCTCAAGCCGAGTGAAAAAGACTTGCAACTGTCCGCTGTGCCCGTAGGGACGTGTCTCCGAGGGAAAAGGTCTAGGAGGGACCTTAAGTTTTTCACGTGGTAGCGGAGCTTGTGCCTTGGAAGACAAGTCCGTTTTGGTGTCCAGAGGAACAGAACGCTGTGTGTGTGTGAAGGAGGATGTTGAATACACCTCAAGGGAGTTCTAACTCGCGAAGTCGGGAGGATAGAACTCGTGGGTCTTCGGTACCTGCAGCTGTGGGAAGTGGACCGTCAAGGACGGGAAGAGATAGAAGTCCACCCGCTCCGTTGGTGTATGGTCCGGTTCCGCGGGGTAGGAACCCGGCTTCTAGAAGCCCGCCGGATGACCCAACACGACCTAGCTTTGTTCCGTTTGGACAGCCGAGTATGCCTCTCAGGACACCAGTAGTTCCACCTTTGCCTGCTGCTGCCAGTAGCAGTGTGTTGCCACCGCCTCCTGCGGCTGCGTTTCCGAGTGCCCAGTTGGGAGCACAGGTCCAAGGTTTGGAGCAAATGATGCAACAGATGGTGCTGCAACAGCAGACCTTTATGCAGACGGTGACTGCTTCGTTTCAGCAGCAACAGCAGTCGATGCTGCAGCAGTCACAGACGTTTATGCAGACCATGGAAACATCTATGCAGCAGCAACTGCAACAGATGAGGCAGCAAGTTGCGAGTTCAGCGCCTGTACCACCTACAGCGCCTGGATCTCCGGTTTTGGAGTCCTATCGGATAAGTACTCCGAGTCCGGGTAGGTCTCCGCCACCCCCACCACCAAGAGATGTTCAGGATGCGGAGAGAGATGTCTTCGCTAAATCCGACAAATGGCTGCCTAGTTTGCCTGTCATTGACTTTACGTCATGGAAGGATAGGATCTCCGAAGCTTTAGGCTTCCTCACCTGGATGGAGAAGCTGACCAGTTGGGTCGGTTTGGGTTCTGAGGTGTTCCCAAACGAGCTCATGCATGCTGTTCGAACAAAGGATGAAGGTGTCCTTGGTCAGGATAGGTTGACTGTTGAGCAGCAGAAGAGATCAATTAGGTTGTTGCACATTCTGCGGCAGACCTTTGCAGGCCATGATAAGAGTTCTTTGATTCTGCAGAACTATGTGGAAGGAGCGGCTTCGTATCAGCAATCGGGATTCGTGGCTCTGAGATTATTGGCGAAGGAGTTTTGCCTGAAATCTCGGTCTGAGTGTCTCTACTTCAGAGCACAGTTGGTCAATCAGACGGTGAAAGCGCCAACTATCCCAGAAATTGTGAGAAAGATTGAATCTGAGCAACATAAGTATTCGAAGCTGTTGAGCAGTTTGGATTCGGATGTGCATGCGCAAGGACTCGATTTGCAAGAAGCAGATTTGGTCATGGTGTTGCTTAGAAGTTTGCCCGAGAGGTGTCGAAGCTACTGCTTGCTTCATGGTGATAGTGATTCGTTTGAGGATCTCAAGCGGGTTGCTTTGAAGTATGAGGTGCAACAGCGAGTTTGGTCTGAAGGACCTGGTACAAAGCTGAATCCGTTCAAAGGTGATGAGAAAGGAAAAGGTGGTGACGAAAAGGGAACTCCTAAAGGAAAAGGTGGCAAGAAAGGAAAAAGAGGCCGGAGCCAGAGTGCGTCCAGGGGTGGAGCTAAAGGAAACAAGGATGTGGAGTGTTGGAACTGTGGAAAGAAGGGACATCATTCCGCAGATTGCTGGGCTCCACCAAAGAAGGATCAAGGCAAAGAGAATGCGAAGAATGATGGAAAGCCCTCGCCGAAAGGTAAGGCAAAGGCAAAGGCCAAGGGTGGAAAAGATAAAGGCAAAGGAAAAGGCAAGACAGTTGCTGAAGTGGCGCCTGACGAAGGCGAAGGTGTTGATCTTGCTGGAGATCAAGGATGGACTGAGCCAGAGTCTGAGGCTCATGTGAGCTCGGTGATGCGGCAACTCAACGAGATCGTTGACGAGGTTCGACGGGATTGGATTCCGCCGGCCCAGGATGAGTTTGTTATGACCCGAGAGGCAAGTGTCAAAGTTCGGATGGCCGAAATGGAGCATAGGATCGCGAGTGATCTCGGTGAGATGCTGGGGAAGGATCTGCCAGGATCGGTGAACTTACTGAGAGGATCTCAGGTGAATGGAGTGAGTAGCCTGAACAACGATCAAATGGCCAACTGGTGGCTCATTGATTCTGGTGCTTCGGTGACAGTGATTGCCAAGAAGTTTCTCGATGACTTCACGGTGATGTCGAGGATGCCTTTGTGCCCAAGCGAGAGGTATTCAGCGGCAAATGATACGCCTGTCACGGTGTTTGAAAGGGTGAGAGTGAAAGTGAAAATGCCTCTGTATGAAGGGGATTCGTATATTGGAATGGTCCCTGTGATGGTGACTGGAGTTGTAGCTGACGTTGGTCACAACATCTTGAGCACTGAGCACATGGTTGCTACCGGCTGGGAAGTGAAGTTTTCGAAGGCGGAGATTTCGCTTCGTCGGGTGAAAGGAGGATTGGTTGGATATGGACAGTCCTGGGCTGGATGCCCATGGATTTATCTGCAAGGTGCAGACACGTCAACCAAGAAAGTGACCTTTGGAAGGACACATGTTAAGATGGATGTAGACCAAGAGGATTCGTCAAGTCCCATGGAAGTTGGGAACGTGTCGGCTATGACGGTGAAGATGAAAGAGGAACTCGAAGTTCATCGGATGCGAGGACATATCCCTTTCATGCCTGGGTGTCCCCATTGTCAAAAGACAAGAGGTGTGACGCAACATCGGAGAGGCAAAGATGTGGGTAATCGCCCTGTGGAGCTGCAAGCAGACTTTTGTTACATCAACTTGGTTACTGGTACCTTTGTCAAGGACCAGCCCAACGCACCCAACATGAAGATTTTGGTGATGACTGAGATGTCTACCAGAATGGTTGGTTGTGCCCTTGTCGGGACAAGTGCGGATCACACATCGACTTGGATTCGGTACTGGATGAATGCTTTTGGGTTGACTACTGCCGGATCTGCGGTGTTACTTCGGACTGATAGTGAAACAGCTGTCAGCGCGTTGATTCGCCGGGCGAATCTTGGGATTCGGGTTGTGACTCAGAAAGCGCCACCGCAAGGACATGAATCTGTTGGTGGAGTTGAAAGAGCAGTTCGGACTTTGAAAGAGCTGTTCAGCACGATCAGGCTTGACCTGAGAGCCCAAGGGTATGATCTGAAGCGCAGTCCACGTGCGTTTGAACTAGGTTTGGTCTACTGTGCTGCCATGCACAATCATCATTCGGCTGCGTTTGATGGAAAGAAGTCTCCTCAGGAGTTGGTTTTGCAGAGACCACTGGCGGAGTGTGCATCCACGTTGATCGGGATGACGGTACTTGCGGAATTACCGGATAGTATGAAGAAGACTTCTTTGTCGAGATTCGTGGAAGCAGCTTACTTGTATCCAGAAGTTGGTGGCTTGACCCATGTGGTGAGTTCTATGGTGAATGGGACGCCACATCACTATCGGGCGAAGTCGATAAAGCATATCACTCCTCTGAAGGTTGGAATGGAGCATTGTGGACATTTGCTCAAAGCCTATGATCCTAGCGATACATTGGCACCTCCCATCTTGAAAGAGTTGGATGATGGGATACCTTCTGAAGTTGAGGGTGAAGTCGACAAAGCATTTGAAGGAAAGGTGTCACAAGGACCTACCACAGACATGAGTCAGGTAGGACCACCTGCGGCATGGGTACGAGAGCATGGAGGAACACCTGGATGTCCAGCGTGTGGTGAGAAGCGTGGAAAAGCCAATCACAATGCTGCCTGCAAACGGCGGTATGATAAGTGGTTGAAGGACCAACGTGAGAGGTTGGTTGTTGAAGGGGAGCAACAGACGGTTGGAGGTGAACCTGGATCTAGATCAGGATCGACCGCGGCTCCGAAGGTTTCTTCAGAAGCGAGAAGCTCTGAGGATGCGGGGGTGCCTCTTGTCAGTGCACCTTCGTTGAAGCGTCCAAAGACCAGTCATGAGACTACCGGCCTGGAAGGCGAAGAGCCCTCAGCGGCGTCCAAGCCAGATGTGATTGATGTGGAGATGGTTGAGGATCCAAGCATTCCTTATGAAAACATTCCAGATGAGGAGATGCCTCCGGGATACTTTGAAGAGGAACAGCCTATGGAGATTGATAAGGGAGTAGCTGAAGAGGCTGCGGCAATGAACGTCGAGTCTGAAAGCTCCCCAAGCGAGCCTAGTAGGGTTCCAAGGCTGTTGCAGTCGCTTCATCCAAGATTGGATGCCCCAGAAGGTTTTACCAGTGCTTGTGAGGAAGCAAGTGCGCCGAAGTTAGCCAAAGTGGTGAATGCTGTTCTGATTGAAAAGAACACTGTGTATCCCGAGCAAGTCCAGATGTGTGGATCGAAAGTTTGGTTGGCCAAGATGAAGAGTGCGTTGTCTGAGCTGGATGGGTGTCCATTGGACGTATCGTCAGCTATGGAGGGTCGACGTACTGAACTTGGTAGCATGGATTCACATAAAGCGGGAAGGATTGTGTCTGCTGATGAGGCACATGCGTTTGCCAAGAAGCATGGGATAAGGATCATCCCTACACGATGGGTACTTGGACCCAAGGTTGTGAACGGGAAAGAGGCAGTGCGCGCCCGGTGTGTGGTACAAGATGTGGCTAAGGGTAGTACGGCTTCATCGCTAGGTCTGAGTGCGACCACGCCGTCGTTGGAAGCTTTGCGAACTCTCTTGGCCATTGCTGCCAAAGATTCGATGGATATTGCTACCCTGGATGTCTCGACTGCATTCTTGCATTCCCCGTTGCCGAAAGGCGAAAAAGCAGTGATTATGTTGCCGCGGGATATGAGTTCAAGATCTGACTATTACGCCCCGGCGTATATGATTCTTGATCAGGCGATGAACGGATTGAGAGTAGCCGCCAAGGCATGGAACTTGAAGTTGGCGAATGTTGTGAAGAAGGTTGGGTTGAACCAGTGCCCTACGGAACCTTCGGTGTTTGAAGGAACTGTGAAAGGAAAACGGTTTCTTATGCTGTGCTATGTGGATGACCTGATCTTGTGTGGAAGCTCAGAAGCAATTAAGTTGGTCACGGATACTTTGAATCGTGAGCTCAAGATCAAGGAAACGGGTCGCATCACTCCGACTGGAGGAAGAATTGTCTTCTTGGGAAGAGAGATTGAGAGGAATGGTGAGCATCTACGGATGAGAGTTCCACCGAAGTACATGGAAAGTTTGTTTGAGACAGACTTTTGCAAGGACCTGAAGGTGGTGAGTAGTCCTCCGGATCTTGTGAAGATCATTGAGAAGGGTCGCGCTGATCCTGAAAAGGATAGCGTGTTGTCGGAGGCTGCTGCGATGCGCTATCGAGCGGTTCTTGGAAGGATTGCTTGGTGGGGCCAGTCTCGTCCAGACTTGGCTCGTTGGATGTCGATTCTTTCCCAAGGTCAGTCGAAGCCTACGGCGTGTTTTGAGCATGCTTTGAGGCAAGTGATTCGTTTCTTGAAAGGCCAGTATCTGTGTTGGTCTTACTTTGGTCCTGGGAGTGAGGTCCCAGACGGAGGATCTGCCACGCTTGATGTGTATGCGGATGCGAGTTGGGCACCGCAAGCGTCTCTGGGAAGGAGATCAGTGTCAGGAATCGCCATCTTTTACCGTGGTTGTTTGATCAAAGGAATCTCGAGGGTTCAAGGGTGTGTATCCCTTAGCTCTTGTGAGGCTGAACTTAGAGCGATTTTAACCGCTGTTCAGGAAAGTGAAGGACTGGCAACGCTGATTGGACAATTGGCTGGGTCCAAAGTCGAGATTAGGTTGCATACTGATAGTTCGTCGGCACGGGCTGTGTTGCTGAATCGGGGTTTGAGTCGACGAGTTCGACACTTGGACATTGCTGTATGTTATCTTCAAGAGAGGATCCAAGAGGCACAAACCCTCAAGGTCCTTTGGTGTCCTACGTCAGCTATGGTGGCTGATATCATGACGAAGTGTTTGAGTTGGGAGATTTTCTTGAGACACCAACAGGCTTTAGGGATTTTTGAAGATGAAAATGTGCAGCAAGTTTGGAGGATTTGCGGAATTCGGTTCTCTCGCAGCGACTCTGGTTCAAGCGCCACGCAAGCTAGCACATCTGTGGAAGTCGTACCTTTGTTGAAGGACGACATGACGGATTCAAAGGCGGATACCCTGAAGGGATCCGTGGAGGCACATTACTGGTGCAAGCAATGCAAATGGCTGTTTAAGACAGACCATTCCCATGGACTGGGATGGACGGATGAGTACAAGCCCAGGTGTGAGAAGTGCCAGGGCGTGATAAGTGTTTGGGGATCCAATGCCTCCCACGCCTTTCATCTCCGAGAGGGAGAGAAAGAGAAGCGGTTTCCGAAAGGCGGCAAAGGGGAAGGCAAGTCCTCCCAGTGGGTGCAAGGCGATGGTGGAAAAGGTGATGGCACCAATCTGGGTGAAAGCTCGATGGCGAAAGCTACGCCAAAGCCTGAAGGGCCACCGAGTGTGGCAACTATGTTTCCAGAGCTTAATGGGAGTGAGGTGCCAGCATGGTACACTGAGCTCTGGGGGAAGATGGGCATCCGAGGAGCCCCTCTTGATCAGGTGGATCTCCAACCTCTGGTGGAATCCTTGCCGGCTGAGGATCAGGAGTGGTATAAGAAGAGCTTTGAGAAGCTCAGCCACCCGAACTTTGCTGTGTTTGAGCATGGGGATCCGATGCCGGGCAAAGTGGTGACAGTCCTGGATATGAGATCGCAGTATGGTGGCAAGTCTGTCATCTGGGAGACAACTGTGAATGGAGGTTGCATCTACGTTGAAATGGGCCCGGGGTTGAGTGGTTTGGCAGTGCTCATGTTTGTGCAGTACCTGAAGAGGAAGGGGTTCTTGGTGCTTATCCTTTTGAGTGGGCATCAGGACCCAGGGATCTTGCGGATGATGGATCTGCTTTACACACTTCCCATCCTGGGAGTGGAGAGATGCACAAAGGGTGATCTGGAGACCACCTCCCATCCTCCCTGGGTGTGCCGATGGAAAGAGCATGCTCAGAATGGCAACGTGGTGTTCAAGGCTGTGCTTTCCAAGGTGTGTTGGATGTCTGATTTGACATGCCAGACACTCCAGGCTTTCGACTCTAAGGTGAAGGACCTCGGGAAGCCGTTGCCTCTGTGGGCCTACTTTGCGTACACCAACAATGATATGGTGAAGGAAAGTTTGATTGTGGAATGCGATCACATGGCTGTGAAGGTTTCCAATGGGGTGCTTGAGAGTATCCGTGAGCCTATGATCTGGCAGTGTGACTGCGCGTGGCATATGGCCACGGACTACGCAAGCAGGTTCACTACGAACCTCCCGTGCATCCTGTGGGAGCACATCTGGAAGTTTTTGGGTGGGAACACTCAGAAGCTGATGGATGTTGAGCTCGGTTTGGAACAGGCTGCGTTAGCAGCCGTGGCTTCGCATGACCTCGAGGTGGAAGCTGAGAACAAGAGGAAGAGGCGTGCGGAGTTGGATGCAGCTGAGGAGGAAGCGGCTAAGAGGGCCAGAACGGAGCAACCAGCTCCAAGCTCACCTGCACCTCCGGTGCTTGATGGAGCTATGATCGCGCAGATCGCTGCAATGGTAACAGCGAGTCTGAGTGTTGGTGACTTGGAGAAGCTGCTGGATGAGAAGAGAAGGGCATCTGCTTCTGGCAGTGCTCAGGGATCTGAGCATAGCGGTGCTCAGCAGGACCAGCAGATGGGCCAACGGGTTGCTGAGTTGGATCAGATGAGGGATGCGGCACAGGAGCGCCGATCCCAGCTGGTTGAGAAAGCCTCTGAGAAGGCTGATGAGGCGAAGGATGCAGCTGATCTGAAGTGAGGTGCAAATGGACCTCGGTTGGATGTAGCTGCCTGTAGGGTAGAAGCGCCATGGCCTTCGCCGCCATGGCCACGCCTCTTTGTTTCGCGAGCCCTTTTTGCAATCAGTGCATGTGTTTTCTGGAGCAGTCGCTACGCGACAAGTTTTCTGCAGAAGCTACTTTACTCCACTGGTGACTTTGGTGAAGAGTGGAAGCTGCTCGGACAGTTCTCAGAGTCGACTTCGGACTACGTTTGGGAGTCAGGACGCTGGGCGCTTTTTCTGCAAGGGCCTGACACAGTGAGCTAGAGAGGTCGTCTTGAAGAGGAACTGAGCGTTTCTGAACGGCCTTAGCTCTTTAATTAGTTTGGTACGTGTTTGTCACTACGAACTCTTGGTCCCTTTGTAGGTCCGAGACCCTCCTGTACGAACGGTGCAGGTGTGCAAGAATCTTCGATCAAAGATCGCCTCTGTGTGTCTGTGTTGTTGTGAGCGGCGAGTACGCACCAAGGGAATGTGGCCTGGGCATCCCCCTAGTGCTGAAGTGCCACTGCCGGTGCTTTGTCGTTTCTGCAAAGATCTTTGAGGAAGCCCTCAGCAAAATGCGGGGGGTGTAAGATCGTCAGCGTCTGTAGTCGCTTGTAAAAGCACTTTCGCTTGTGAGTGTTTTGCTTCGGGAACGGTTTCAAGGTTTGGTTGGGAATCTTGATGATCCCAAGGTTTGATATGAAACCTTCCGGGTACATTTGAGAATCTTCGATCTCAAAGTGTACCTTAGTTGCTGTTGAGGACTCCTTGATGGATCCTCAGTGGTATGTTTATATCCCACAAGATTTACTTCGTAAATCTCTGTGTGGTTAGAGCCCAATACGCTATAATTCGTTTGTTTGAATTCGTTTCCACACTTACGTGTGAAGTCTGACGCACTCCGTGAACTTTGGCTCAAGCCGAGTGAAAAAGACTTGCAACTGTCCGCTGTGCCCGTAGGGACGTGTCTCCGAGGGAAAAGGTCTAGGAGGGACCTTAAGTTTTTCACGGAGCAAAGAAGGGCAAGCACGTGGCTTGGAGACCAGAAAATGCAGACCGGCAGAAGCAGGATGTTGCGGTGCGTCACTGTCCCAGGGCAACGCAAGCCCCCTAAAGAAAGACTTCGCAGCCTCTCTGTATTGCCCGTTTCGAGCGTGCACACCAGAGTCCAGGAAAGTGCCAAGAGCAGAGGTGGAATAACCTTAACGACGTATGTCGTCGGTTGCAACGGCTTCCACAGGGAGAAGCAATCACAGGGTGTTTTTACGCGAGTATCTGGAAGGACGTTCGCCGGGCATGGACGCCTTTCTCTTGGTGGATTGTGCGGATGCCGCCTCCCACACGAGTGGAAATTGGCCGTGGCCTCGTTTCGTCTCGAGTATCCCATTCTGTTTGCTCGGTGTGTTGCGCTGCCGGCGACGCTCACCAGGGGTCTCCACGGCCATCTATTTCCAGGACAAACACGCGCGTTCGTTGGTTGGTTTGATTACCGGCCGCACATCCCGTTCGGCACACCGGTGCCCCCTCAATTGAGCCCAATTGGCTAATGCTAAGTTGCAATGGAGCAGACACCTTCAACGGTCTTTGGACTTGGGAGCAATGGGGCAGTGCCCACGCTGGGCCCTCAATGCGTCGGGTTGCATTGGGCTGCCAGCACGTCGACATACGTCGATGTTTCTTTTTCTGACGACAGCCAACGTCAATACTCGGGCTTCGACTTGTTTCAGTGTATCTCACGTTGAGTTGGAACGACTCAGACACCGTTGGAGCTGAGACATTCGCTCCGCCTTTTCCTGTGGATTCCGGACGAGTGGATGCCGTCTTCCGCACGGCCAGGACTCTGGTCATGACTTCGGCATCGTCTCGGATGACGCCGGCAACTCGCCACGGGATTGCACGCCGTTTTCTTAAGTTCCGACCTCGGATTCCGGGCGCTTCTGGCTGTCGTTGCGTCGGAACGACTCAGGCACCGCTTGACCGGAAGTGTAGAAAACCAGTGCTCTGCCCAGTAGTGTTTTCGGTGCGACACAGAGTTTTTCCTCAGTTCAGGTGGTCAGTGCCTGGACGGTTTTGCGGTAGCTTCAACCTGTTTTCCCTTGTTTTGTAGTGCATGGGAGCTTTTAAGTGGCTCAAGACACGTAAGACCAGCAGTGAGCTGAGCGTGCTAAAAGTGTGAACTGTCCGAGTGTTTTGTGAGCTTGCTTTGCTTGCAAGGGTGCTTGGAACTTGTTTGCCTTGAACCTGAAGAGCTGTTCGCCTTCTAGGTTTTTAACGTGGTAGCGGAGCGTGGAAACGCTCGTTGCCTTGCAACCAAAAGAAAGAGTCCAATACGTTGACTTGAGGCGTGTTGCTTGCTTGGTTGTGCTTGTGAGAAATGGAAGGCCGTGGCAGGCCAAGCTACTTCAACATCGGTGATGGGCCAGGTGAGCCTGGTATGATCCGAAGGAATAGCAGGTCAGACGCTGCGCCGCCTTACCAGAGGCCGAGAGCGAGCAGTGTGCCTCGGGGTGCTGCCTTTAGTCCGGTGTCGAACTTGTCGGCTCTGGAACGGGGTATGCATCCAACCGGAAGCCCTGTGGTGGGAAGCCCAGCTGGCTCGCCGAACCCTCTTGGAGGTGTGTTGCCACCCCCGCCAGGTTTGCCAGAGTTTGGTGGAGTTTCGCCAGTTAGTGCACCACCGCAGCCCACCGTGGAGACGTTTCTTTACCAGACGGTGCAGCAGCAGCAGCAGCAAGTTGCTCAGCTTACGTCTCTAGTCCAGGCTCTTGTGAGCAGGGATGTGCCTGCGCCATCTACTGCGAGGGGCAAGGGCCACGGTGGAGAGCTTAGCTCCATCTCCGATTCGTCGGGGAAGATGGAGGTTGATGAGGGAGGTGCCCCCCAAAGCTGAAGCTTATGTTCCCAAGTTGCCTGCAATTGATGGTGGGAAGATGAGCAAAGGCCGTCGCTCGGAGATCGAGGGGTGGGCTGAATTCTTAGAGCAGTTTTTGCCTTGGATCGCCCTCTTTGACGATAGGATCCCGGAAGAGCTTCATCGGTCGATTGCCTCGGAGGTCACCATCAAGCAGTCGTCGCTTGAAAAGGGACAGAGCGTGCGTTCAACTAGGACCTTCTTGTACCTGAAGCAAGCGTTGCAAGGGTTTGCTCGTGGGCTTGACTTGGTTAAGCAAGTGGAGAAGGAGCAGCTTGGCTCCCCAGCTGGGTATGAGTGCATGAGGAGATTGCATCAGGAGTTGTCTGTTGCGAGCCGCATCGAGGCTTCGACGCTTCGGAATGAGGCCTTGCAGTACCGCGCGAGCACTCCTGCCAATCGTCCACTTGACATGTTTCGGAACATCCAGTTGGAGCTTGCCAAGTTTACCCGCTTGACCGCAGGGTTCCCAGATCTTGCGTTGAGTGAAGCAGATCGTTGCATGATTGTTTTGAGAAACCTTGACGTTGAAGTGAAGAAGTATGTTCTTTTGCATGCTAGGGTTGACTCCATGGATCAGCTTGAAACTGCTTTGAAGTTTTATGATGCCAACCTTAAGATCCTGAATTTCCAAGAGAAGGAAGGAAAGGGAGCAGCAAAGGACCACGCGAATGCTTTGACCTTCGAAGACAAGGGAAAGGGCAAGAAGGGTGACAAAGGAAAGGAAGGAAAAGGAAAGGACAAAGGAAAGGACAACAAGAAAGGGAAGGAGAAAGGAAAGGAAGGAAAAGGGAAAGGTGGAAAGGACAAAGGCAAGGACAAAGGGAAGACCGCGGCCGCAAAGGACGGCAAGCAAGGTTCTGGAAGCGACAAGGAGAAGGAGAAGGAGAAAGCAGAGCGCTTGAAGAACGTCAAGTGTTACAACTGTGACCAGTTCGGGCACTACTCGAATAAGTGTCCCAAGCCCAAGAGGGAAAGAGCATCAGCAGCTGCATTGCTCGAGCCGCAGGTCGCGGGTCGCGGCTGCCTCTTTGGAGCCTCAGATTTTCGCAGCAGCGGTTGATCTGAGTTGTCCGGTTGTTGAGCTTGATGAGGAGGATTGCTCAGATTTTTCCCAGGAGGATTGGGAGGAGTTTGTTGCATCTTATGAGTGTGCTTGGTCGGAGCCAGTTGTGCTTGAAGGCGGTGAGCCTGTTGTTGCGCCTGAGGGTTCCATGTTGCACGTTGCGCTTGAAAGTTTTCCTTGTGACAGCCCAAACAGAGCCACAGTTGAGCTTGCAGAGTCCCGCGGTGTCCCAAACAGAACCACAGTCGAGCTTGCAGAGTCCCACCAGGTCCCAGACAGAACCACAGTCGAGCTTGCAGAGTCCCCAGAGTTGAGCTTGGAAGCAGGTCGTTTTGTTGCAGATTTTCAAAATGGCGTTGAGCATGGCATGTTGCATGGGGTGGGTAGACCTGACCATGGCATGGTAGCGCACGAAACAGCAGCCGCCAGCCAGCAGCATGACACCATGGACTGGTGGCTCGTCGACTCTGGCGCGTCAGCCCACATCATCAACGAGGACACTTTGAGCCGGGTGCACGTTGTGAGCCACAGTGAGTCTGCCAGTGAGTGTGTTTCTGCAACGGGTGACAGCATTGGAGTTCGGAGGTCTGCGGTTGTCAGGGTTCCTTTCGTTTTGGTTTCAGGCGAGACGGTGGTAACAGAACTCCAAGTGCTTGTTGCTCCTGTGAAGTTTAACCTGCTCTCCTTAGGGCGTTTGCTGGGCAAGAGCTGGGTTGTGGATTTCCTGCCAAGTTTTAAAGTTGAGGCCGCTGGGTACGTTCTTCGCACGAGATGGGTCTCCAATTGCGGATGGGTTTTCTCGAGTGCTGTTGAGCTTGACCGTTCCGTTGCAGTTGCCGCCCGAGCGAGCTTGAAGCGTAGTGACGGCTGTGCTCCTTCGTCTGGGAAGCCTTCTAAGAAGGATGGGGAGGAGCAACCGGGCACCAGAGGAGTCTTCTTCCGACTCGGAGCAGGAGTGGCGCCTTTCGGGTCGCCGCCACCTAGCGGAGCAGCACGCAGCGACTGTTACGAGGACGCACGAGGACTTCGAGGGATCCACGGTCGCCTTTACGGCAACCTCGATGGTGGGTCTTACGCCGGGCCAGAACCTGCTGTTGGTGCCAGCCGCGGAAGTGAAGAAGAAGACGGCAGAGCAGGCAAAGGCAGCTGCGAAAGCAGCGGCGGAGAAGTTCGTGAAGGAGCGCCAGGAGAGCGCCCAGTGGGCCAAGGAGGCAGAGGAAGCAAAGAAGAAGAGAGCAGCCAAAGCCGCCGAGGCCAAGAAGAAAGCAGCCGAGGCGGAGAAGTTGATCAACGAGGCCACGGAGGCAAAGAAGAGAGCAGCCGAGGCAGTGGAGTTGGTCAGCGATTCCCCGGAGGGGAAGAAGAAGAAAGCAGCCGAGGCAGAGAAGTTGGTCGACGAGGCCATGGAGGCAAAGAAGAAAGCAGCCGAGGCGGAGAAGTTGGCCAGCAAAGCCGCGGAGGCAAAGAAGAAGGCAGCCACAGAGGCCGTGGAGGCAAAGAAGCCCAAGGGCAGTGTGGCCAGAGCAAGGGCAGAGCCGTCTTCGGGGTCGAAGGACCCACCGCAGCCAGTGGTGAAGAGGCAGCCCAAGCCGCCCATGGTGAAGGCAATGCCAGCCAAGGTCCGAAAGATCGTCTTGAAGAGCCGGGCCCAGCGCGGGATTCCCGGGCAGACCGACACTGCGCTGAGAATGCTTTCGCAGCGGGCCAAGGAGAAGAAGAAGAGCGGCTACCTCATGAAGGCCATCAACAACGCTATGAAGAAGAATGCCGAGGAGCAGAAGGGCGCGCCAGTCAGACGAACCTGGGAAAAGCATATCAAGGACCACTATGCTCAGATCAGGGGGCTGGAGATCCCGTTCGTGGAGGTGACGATTTCCAGGAGCCTCGGGGACCACCGCCATTGCCACAGCCGAAGACCCCTCCTTCTACGCCAGCGCGAGCTGCAAGGGCCCCGGAGGTCAAGGTGGAGGGCGCGCGTGCAGCAAAGGTGCCGGAGGTCATCAAGGTGGAGGCCATGGAGATCAATCCCCCACCACCGGTGCCACCGAGGAGGAGGCTACCCACGCCGCCGAGGGACCTCCGAGGGCCCTCTGCGCCCTCAGAGTGGTCAGTCTGCCGCCATGGTCACCAGTTTCCAGCGTGCCGGTGGATGCAAGGGCCAGGGAAACCCCAGCAGAGACGAGAGCCGAGGAGCCCCCAGCAGAGGGGAGAGCCGAGCAGCTGCATCTTGGGGACGACGGCAAGATCTACAACTCCCGGGGCGAGGTGGTGGAGCTGGAGAGCATCGAGATAGAGTGAGCCACAGCGGTGCACAAGGATCCTCCAAGGACGCCCGCCAATCTTCCGAGGACGCCCACCATCCAGGAATATCCGATGGTCCTTCTTCCTTGGGACTCTCGCTTCTAATGCAAGAAAAGGTTGCGTTTGCATGTGAGCATGATGTTGCAGTTGAGCTTGGTGAGCATGCATGTGCTGGTGGTTTGGGTGAGCATGATTTGCAGCATGGTGAGTTGCTTGTGAGCATGTTGGCCAGGACCGACCACAGCGTGACCGGAGCGAGGCCCATGATAGCCAGAGTGAAGCATGGTTGCTTAGAGGGGATCGGGAACTGTTGTTGCAGGAAAGCTGGGGCAAGCTAGAGCGAGAACATGTTCTTAGATCGCATGTGCCGTACAATGCGTCTTGCCCGCAGTGCGTGCAAGGTCGTGGGCTTGAACCCGCCAGAAGCCAGGATCGGCTCCAGGACTCAGGGATGAGAGAGGTGCAAATAGATAAGTTTTTCTATAAGGGCCTCGCGTTCCTGGTGTTGGTTTTGGTTGGTGCTTTTGCCCTCGGTGTGGTTCCGTACCGTGAGGTGAGCGGATCCCGAGGCCCAGCAGCCAAGGAAGCCATGTTGAATGACATGTCGGCATGGAGTCGTAGCGTTGGCTTGGTTGGTGTTGCTCCCAGTGAGTTGACGGTGAGCGTGAAGTCGGACATTGAGGGTGTTGTGAAGAACCTTGCACAGAGTTTTGCTGATGGTTTGACCGCCGGTGCCATCGAGGTTGTGGATGCCCCTGTTGGTCGGCATGCTGTTGTTGCAGAGCGTGCGGTGAGGACCATCAAGGAGGGTGCAAACACACTTTGTGCTGGGTTGGAACAGGTCGGCTTGGAGCCCTGCGGGAAGGGTGTTACGTATCTTTTGATGCACGTTGCCCAGGTCTACAACCGGTACCAGGTGCATCCTGGATCGGCGCTGTCCCCAGAACAGCGGTGCTTGAAGACCACCCGAGGACCGCATGCCGCTTATGTTTGGGGTGCCGCTGTGCTTGCCACTCCTCCTCCCTCTTTGCGTGACAAGATCACCGGCCGTTACGGCCACGCCGCCTACCTTGGACCAGAAGTCGGAAGTGGAAGCCACATTGTGCAGTTTAGGCTGCGGGATGGCACCTTGAAGATTGCGAGAAGTGCAAGAATCCGGATGTTGGTTCCTCTTACTTTTGAGGTGTCGAGCTTGAAAGGTGTTTGTCGCATGTTGCCAGGAAGGAAAGATGATGCCCAGAAGAAGCTCCCCGAGAGCAGTGGCGAAAATGTGCGCGACCTCCCGTTACCTAACACCGCAACCCGAGGACCACCACCAGAGTGGATTGAAGAAAACGGAAGAACCCCAAGGTGTCGAGCTTGCCGGCTGCGCGGTTTTCCAGCGGATAAGGCATGACACACCCAGAGATGCCGTGATCGATATGCTGAGTTTGTGCGGAACTCTTTCGATCCCAGCCGGGCGATCCTCGATCAAGCCCCAATTGAAGAAGAGGCGACTGGGCTTGATGATTTGGGTGCTGGATTTGATGTTGATCTTGGGCTTGATGTGCCGGATGATCTTGATCCTTTCCCGAATTTTCCATTGGACGAGGATTTGGCTGAGTATGAGCCCAGCCTCTCTGGAGTTGGGAATGAGATTGAAGTTGGAGAAGAACTCGAGCGGATCGAGGCCCCGAGCCCGGGCGAGCTTGATTTCATGCAAGTGGAGCCGGAACCTCTTGAAGCACTCCCAGAAGAAGAGCGGGATGCTATGGTGTCTAGCGTGATGTACCGAGAGTCCATCTCCTTTGCTGGTGCGTCCGTTTGCTTTGCAGGGGCCGCCACCACCAAGGTTGTTACTCCTCAGGTTGTTGAGCTTGGGGGGGAGAAGCTGCTTGTTGAAGTGCCAGCTTCTGCAAAGGATGATGTGACTGGGCACCTGCTTGATATTGGCTTGACCTATGAGGGCATGTTGCGTGAGCTTCGTGCTCTTGAGTCGCTTGCTGTCGGTGATGTTGTGTGGCATGTGGAACCGAAGCAGAAGGTGATCTCTACAAGGTGGGTCTCCAATGCCAAGGTCGAGCGTGTTGAGGGAAAGGAGAATCCGCTTGTCAGGTGTCGGGTTGTTGCTCGTGACTTTGCGCAGGGAGCGACCGCTGCGCAGCTGGGCATTTCTGCTGCCACAAGTTCCGCAGAAGCGCTGCGAACCTTTCTGTTCTACGCCGGTTCCAAGAGGAGGAACATCGTCGGGTTGGATGTGAGCACCACCTTTCTCTTTGCGGAGCTCGACGAAGAAGATGGACACATTGTGGTCAGGCTGCCGGACGGAGTTAAGGGCAAGGACGGCCGCCGCGGCTGCTTACGCCTAAAGAAGGCCCTCTATGGTCTAAGAGTTGCAGCTCAGACCTGGTCGCGTCACCTGGCAAAGCTGCTGAAGAAGCTCTGTGACCTGGAGCCCTGCGAAACTGAGGCTTGTTTGTTTTCAGGATCCGTGCTTGGAGGCCAGCGGGTGGTTGTTCTTTGCTACGTTGATGATCTTCTCATCACTGGAGACAGCGACGAGGCTATCTACCATGTGGTGGAGCAGCTGAAGACCGCTGTGAAGGTGAAGGTCACAGCCGATCTGGACCGTGACGGTCAGATCACCTTCCTTGGAAGACAGATTGCCCGAGAGCATTCTAGTGACTCCCTGTGTGTCACAATGTCCGATTCCTACTATGAAGAGATCTACAAGGGTTTCTTCGGGAACTCCAAGGTCACTGCGTGCGGCACGCCGCCAAACCTAAAGGAGTTGTACGACAAAGAAGATCCTTGCTTGGAGAAACCCCTGTCTTCTGAAGCTGCTGCGAGGTTTCGCAGTTCCCTGGGAAGGCTGTCATGGCTTGCGATGACAAGAGTGGATGTGGTTTACTATGTGAGCATGCTGGCCCGAGGCCAAGCGAATCCACTCGAGAAGCACGAGAGAGCTATGAGGGCTATGTTGCGTTACTTGAAGTATATTCAGGGTTTTAAGCAGGTGGTTAGTCCAGTTTCTGAGGAGAACCTGCGCCTTGATTGCTATGTGGACGCTTCTTGGGGTAGCGAGAAGAATGTTGACAGGAAGAGCATCAGCGGAGGGTGCGTGATGTTGGGAGGCTTTCTGTCTGAAAGCCTGGAGCCGCCTGCAACAGGCTGTTGCCTTGAGTTCTGCTGAGAGCGAGCTCTATGGGCTTGCGGAGGGTGCGAAAGAGGCTCTCTCTATCCGCCGCGCCATCTCGCATGTCTTTGGGTGGGAAGATCTGCCAAAGCCCCATCTTTTCTGTGACAGCGAGGCTGCAGTTGCTATCAGCAAGGCTGATGGGCTGAGGAAGGTGAGGCACATTGACCTTAGGGCGTGCTTTATCCAAGAAGCGTCTCGGTTCAAGCGAACTGGTAGCGGTGGGCCCTCGCTCGGGTCTGGGATTGGGTTTTGTTCAGGGCACCCGGGTTTTCCCCTCCTCCGTGTGGTTTTTCCCCGTGTTGCCCAGTTCGTTCGACCCTTGCGAGGTGTAGGGGCGGGTAGCGGGGCGGGGTAGCGGCTCATAGCACCTTCTGGTGCTGTAGTGCCATTAAGCGTCGTCCCGGCTGCCCGGGCTTACTCTTGCACTGCACCACGGAGCTGATTCATTTGAAAACCTTGGCACGGGATCAGGTCATTGATCACATAGCACGAGATCCCTCCTACAGGGACCGCCTCGCAGCCAGCTTGTGGCAGCACTTGGAAGCAGCTGACTTCTTCGTCTCTGCACTGGACATTTTGCCTCGAGCAGGTGTCCTTTCCTTTGTTGCTTACGCGTCAAGGAATTATCCTTCTTTGGTAGAGGCCACAGAAAGAGAGCTTGGAGCTCCTTTGACCAGCTTGCTGCAGCCAGGTCCTCTCAGGACATGAACCCTGCAAGGTTGCCAGTTGCCAATCTGATTTTCAGCTTGATTTTCAGCTTGATTTTGGGTGCGTGCTTTTCTTCATTTCGTGTTTTGCAGATGGATCCAACCACAAACCGCGAGCATGATTTTCTCAGTGTGCCGTCGTCGGGTGCTTCAGTGCCCTTGAACACGCATGCACCGGAGTTCGTGCCTGCTACGTCGCAACCTCAGAGAGTTCCTGCATTGCACTCTGAAGCCGAGTTAGGGATTGAACCTGCGGTTTTGAGTGAGCCTGCGCTTGAGATTGCCTCTTCTTTTGCATTAGGACACACGCTGAACCCGCATGCTCCTATTTTCATGCCGCACACCCCTGATGATTATAACCCAGCCCGAGAAAAGCCCACAGAGCTACCGTACATGATGACCACAGGAACCAGCCCTGGTCCCAAGTCCAGGGGCAGGCCGCATTTTGCAAATCACACAAGTGCAAGAGAGCCTGCAGACGCGAGGGTTGGATCGGAGGCCGACGATCCTGGAGCCGCATCGCAAGACTCCATGTACCGCCAATCAGAGGCGAAGCCAGGCCATAACACCCGCAAGTTGCCCCATCGCAAGAGGGCACTTCGCAGAGCTATCACTACGGCGCAGCAGTTTGGAGTAGCACCTTACCGAGGCTCAGTTTTCGAGAGTAGGCATTTGCAAGTGCACAGGGCCGCTGGCCCAGCCACATCCCGTGACGCAGGGGAAGACGCCACGACCGGCACGCCGGCACGGCCCTCCTGTACACATAGGCTTGGCAGCTCAGGAAGTGCACGGCCTCACATTGCCAAAACTTCTGCACATGCTCCCTCCCCTAGACGTTGCAGCCTGCTTACGTGGAACGCTGGGGGACTGACCACCCTGGTGTGGGCAGAGCTCAAGGAGTGGCTTCGCACACACAGCAATCGCGTAGACATTGTCTGTATCCAGGAGACCTTTTGGCGGGACGACCTGCAGTGGGATGATGACCATTGGTGCTTTGTGCACCACAGCAGTGGTGCCCCCAAGGAGGCCGGTTTGCTGACTTGCATCTCCAAGCGTCTAGCCACCCCGGAGGGCATTAGGCATAGCTCCATCATCCGTTGTCGCGAGTGCAAGTGGTTCCGCGTCACTCGTGTGTGACTTGCAGTCCCCAAGCGCTTCTGCACTGCAGTTTTGCCGTAGTGCCGTAGCTGCAGCCGTAGCCCGTAGTGTCGTGCTTCTAGCTTCTGCCGTAGTTCGTAGTTCTGCGTACCCCAGGTACAAGTTAGTGTTCTGCTGCACAAAGTGCGGCACCTCTCGCGATGACCCACTGTGGTCCATCGGCGGGTTCGCAAAGGACTTTTCGAAGCCCAGCGTTGGAAAGTGAAAAGCTTTATCCAAGACCAGCTCAAGCAAAAGCAGATCTTTATCTTTGGCGTGCGTGGTGAAGCCAACGTTGCAGATTTGTTCACCAAACCTTTGAGTTGGACTGTTACCTTGAAGCACATGTGGGGACTTGGCTTGCGTGACGTTGCCGTTGTTGCTTGTGTGCTTGATGGCTTTGTTGCGTTGTGCGGTGCAATGCTTGTTGGTAAGAACCATGTTAGCTGCTAGCTTGCGTGACCGCTTTGCCGCCATGCCGCATGCCTCCTGGTTGGTGATTGAATTCTGTGCCCCCGTTGAATCGTCGATGAGAGCGGCTAGTCAGGATCTGAACTGGGTGAACGTGCTTACTGTGAGTGAGCGTGATGATGGTGCCAGTACCCAGACCTTGCTTGAGCTCAAAGCCATCTTTGCTGTGCAGATCAAGAAGAAGGGTTTTGTCTTCTTGTGGGCCAGTACCCCGTGTACCGGAGGCTGCCCATATCAGAGGCTGCGTGCCCGTGATCCAGCCTATCGCCGCGGGCGGTTGGCTCAGCACTGGAGGCTTCACCGAAAGCTCTGGAAAAGCTTGGTCGAGCTTACTAGCTTTGTGCATGCCTGGGCCATTGAGTGGCCACGTGCTTGTGCTTACTGGTCTTGGCGCCAGACTGAGCATTTTCTTTCTTCACGCCCCTACGTCTTGCACGACGTTCCAGTTGATGGTTGTGCGCTTGACATGCGAGGCCGCGATCATCTTCTTATCGCCAAGCGGTGGCGTGTTGTTACCACACACCCAGCAGTCGCTGAGAGCATCCGTGTCTATCGTTGCTCTGGGAAGCATGAGCACTCGAAGGATTTCGACCTCAAGAGTACACAGCACTACCCGGTAGAGCTTGTAAAATCCTTCTTTGAAACGTTGCGCCCTTGACTTTTTACGAGAGTCTTGTCGTTGTCGAGGACATGTTGTTGCATGTTTGCTGCGCAGCCTGTTTGCTCAAACTTTCCGGTGTTTTCTTTCTTTGCCAGGACGTTTAAGATGTCTCTGGTTCCTTTCGCTGCCGAGCGTGCCATGGTGTTTGGCCTGGTTGTGGAAGTGCAAGAGAAGCTGCTCGAAGTACCGAGTGTCGGGCTTCTCGTTGTTGTGCTTGTCCCACTGCTTGTGGGTGTTGCGCTTGGAGTGTGCTTGCAGAAGCTGCGTACCGAGAGCTCCCGCGTCAAGACTGTGCAGGACCTTCTTTCGTTTCTGCCAAGGTCGGGCCAGAAGATGGCTGTCTTTACTTCTGCTTACGGAGACTGTTTCCACGTGCGTAGAGACTGCCACGGCCTCAGGAACGCGCTTCCGAATCGCATCGCTGCTAAAGTGGCTTGCGAGTACTGTTTAAGGGATCTCCACCTGGTACCTCCGACAGCTACTGCGTCGTGGGGGGGTGTAGAAAACCAGTGCTCTGCCCAGTAGTGTTTTAGGTGCGACACAGAGTTTTTCCTCGGTACCTGTATAGTTGTATAGTTTTGCTAGTTTCAGGTGGTCAGTGCCTGAAGAACGTAGTTTGAGCTTGCGTGACGGTTTTGCGGTAGCCTCAACCTGTTTTCCCTTGTTTTGTAGTGCTTGGGAGATTTTAAGAGGTGCCACGACTACTGTCGTTTGGCTCAAGACACGTAAGACCAGCAGTGAGCTGAGCGTGCTAAAAGTGTGAACTGTCCGAGTGTTTTGTGAGCTTGCTTTGCTTGCAAGGGTGCTTGGAACTTGTTTGCCTTGAACCTGAAGAGCTGTTCGCCTTCTAGGTTTTTAACGGGAAGCCTATCGGCGCGGCGAACCTTGGACTTTTGGACTTTGGTGTGCTCGATCGTGACGGAACAAAGCGCAGGGGCTGCCCGTTGTCTGGCGAGACTAGAACGGCTGCCGGAGCTTGGATTCGGCTCCACCTGTTGCTTTGGGCAGCTCAGAGCGACGGCTCTCTGTTGCTTCGGATCGGTCGCTGAGGCTCCGTAGATGTGCTGAACGGCTACCACCGGCAAAGCCTGTGCGCCGCAGCTTGTAGAGCTTCGCTTTTGTCTCACCGCTTTGTAGTTTTTAGCTTTGTTTGTTGTCTGTTTGTTTGTAGGGACCGAGTGCTACAGCCGTAGTCGACGAGGCCCATTCACGCCAAAAAAAAAAGCCTACGCAAGCAGTGGGCATTGGATTTTGGTGTGCATAATTGCGACGGAACAAAAACAGAGGTTGTGTGTCTGGCAAGAACTAGACTTCCGTTTCTGCACTTAAGCTTGCGACTTTGGCAAGGCAATTTAAAGCACCCTTCCACAAAAGCCACTTGGCTGCGGTGCACAGACTTGGGAAACAGTTACTCTTGCAAGAGACACTGGGAAAAAACACTGTATGCCCTACAATTAGAAGATCTTCTAGAGCCTTCCCTAAACCCTAAACAGCCCGCCGGGCTTCCAGGTTTGCAGCTCAGACTCCAACACACCTGCCATAAAGTTTAGAAGCCAAGTCCGCGTTGCGCAAAGGCAGGTCAGAGGCTAGGTCGCGCTGCCGCAACGTTTCGAGTAGCACAGACCACAAAGCAAGTATTGCTGGACTGCAAGCCCCAAAGCTTCTAAGCACGTTTTGCCAAGAAGCACTTGTGCGCTTTGTGCAAGAATGTGCGTGCCAAAGGCTTCCAGGTTTGCCACTCAGATCTTGGATTGTTTACTCTTTGCACAAGGGCAATGTGTCTCGAAGCACAGGCCTGCGCCCAGGTTTGCATCTCATAGCCCTCATCCGCGCAGTGGTTAGGCTTTCACTTTCACGCTTGCCACAGAGGTAGGTTATAAGGGTTATAAGTTGCCGCAGGTCTGTAGGTTAGCCATCAGGCCGCGAAGGTTCGAGGTACGTTGGACGTCAAGCAGCGCTGCCGCGCAGAGGGACCGCACACACAGAAGGCAGGTTTGGCTGGACCGCAAGCCGCAACGCTTCTCAGAAGGTTTTGTGGAAAGCTCGCTCGCTTTGTAAAGGTTGGGTGCCCGTCCCGACCTTTTAATGCCCTTCTAAAAATTCAGGCCGCTTGCGCGGGGCTTAGTTAAGATTTTGGGCAGGTTCCTAACCCCCTTAAGCTGAAGCGGTTGTGCTTGGTATAGTCAAAGGGTGGGGGATCCCAAAACCCGCAGAGGGGGAGTCATAGCCAAACGCCTGAGATCCCAGCTGGGAGGCCAACACTCGCCAAGCGAGCTTCGGGGGGGGGGCTTGCTTGTGCAGTTGTGGGTTTGGTTGTGCCTGTTTTGCCAAGGTTTTCTGTACTTGGGTGACGAGACTCACGCAGTCAACGCTCGGCGTGTGGCCCGGGTAAAGCCACCCTTGTCACCTGTTCAGTCTGCCTATGCGCCGCCATCTGCTGTTGAGCACACACGCATTGTGAACATGCCTTCCACGTCTCGCCGTACAGCCAGCTGTAGAAGAGGCAGGTCTGGCTGTGCTGCACGCCGCACAGTTTCCTACACCATCGTGACTGGATTGCGAAATACTATCGCTACCAGCAGCCGGATGGAAATAAGGTTTTGCCGAGAGCTTGTGCGATTTTTAGGGGTTGGGTACCCGTCCCACCCTTTGGCTGAGCCCTTCTAAAAATTTAGGCCGCTGCACAGGGCTCGTTAAGATTTAGGGCAGGTTCCTAAACCCCTTAAGCTGAAGCGGTTGTGCTTGGTATAGCCAAAGGGTGGGGGATCCCAAAACCCGCAGAGGGGGAGTCATAGCCAAACGCCTGAGATCCCAGCTGGGAGGCCAACACTCGCCAAGCGAGCTTCCGGGGGGGGGGGCTTGCTTGTGCAGTTGTGGGTTTGGTTGTGCCTGTTTTGCCAAGGTTTTCTGTGCTTGGGTGACGAGACTCACGCAGTCAACGCTCGGCCTGGTGGCCTGCCGGCAAAGCCACCCTTGTCACCAGTTCAGTCTGCCTATGCCGCCGCCACCTGCGTTTGAGCGCACACGCACTGTGAACATGCCTTCCACGTCTCGCCGTACAGCCAGCTGTAGAAGAGGCAGGCTTTGCTGTGTTGCACGCCGCCAAGTTTCCAACACCATCGTGACTGGATTGCGAAATACTATCGCTACCCAGCTGGATGGAAATAAGGTTTTGCCGAGAGCTTTTGCGCTCTGTAGGGGTTGGGTACCCGTCCCTGACTCGCCAAGAGCTTCTGGGGGGGGCTTGCTTGTGCGGTTGCGCCCGCTTTGGAACGGTTCTCTGTGCTTGGGTGACGAGACTCACGCAGTCAACGCTCGGCGTGGTGGCCTGCCGGTAAAGCCACCCTTGTCACCTGCGCAGTTGCCTGTGCAGCATGATCGGGCGCCCTGTGCCTTCGCAGTTTGTCCAAAGGTTCGAAGGCCAAACCTTTTCACTCGACGCAGAGGTAGGTCAGGAGGGCTTGTTCATGCACGCAGGTAGGTTGGAGGTCAGGTCGCGCTGCCGCAAAGGTTAGGGCCACACAGGTCAAGAGGCAGGTCTTGCTGTGCTGCACGCCGCAAAGCTTCCAACACCATCGAGACTGGATTGCGAAATACTTTCGCTACCCAGCAGGATGGAAATAAGGTTTTGCCGAGAGCTTTTGCGTTTCGTAGGGGTTGGGTACCCGTCCCACCCTTTGGCTGAGCCCTTCTAAAAATTTAGGCCGCTGCAGAGGGTTAGTTAAGATTTAGGGCAGGTTCCTAACCACCTTAAGCTGAAGCGGTTGTGCTTGGTATAGCCAAAGGGTGGGGGATCCCAAAACCTGCAGAGGGGGAGTCATAGCCAAACGCCTGAGATCCCAGCTGGGAGGCCAACACTCGCCAAGCGAGCTTCGGGGGGGGGGGCTTGCTTGTGCAGTTGTGGGGTTGGTTGTGCCTGTTTTGCCAAGGTTTTCTGTATTTGGGTGACGAGACTCACGCAGTCAACGCTCGGCGTGGTGGCCTGCCGGTAAAGCCACCCTTGTCACCTGGTCAGTTGCCTGTGCAGCATGATCGGGCGCCCTGTGCCTTCGCAGTTTCTCCAAAGGTTCGAAGGCCCAACCTTTTCACTCGACGCAGAGGTAGGGCAGGAGGGCTTGTTCTTGCATGCAGGTAGGTTGGAGGTCAGGTCGCGCTGCCGCAAAGGTTAGGGCCGCACAGGTCAAGAGGCAGGTCTTGCTGTGCTGCACGCCGCAAAGCTTCTAACACCATCGAGACTGGATTGCGAAATACGCTTGTCGTGAGTTTGTTGTTTTGGTCGACAGTGTTTTCGGTAAGTACTTGAGCTTGCATTGCTTCGCCTTGCGCCGCACTGCTAGCTCAAGCTGTCGACCCGGATCGCTTCCGATTTTAGCTTTTTCATGCATTGCATTTGCTTCGCTCTACATGCAGCTTTACATGCAGCTTCCTACACAGCTTGAGTTTGCATGCATTCACTTTTGCTATCTTCTTCCGAGCTAGGCTTCTTTTGCTCCGCTCTGCTCCGCGCCATGGGTCGCCAAGGGCAGATCAAACGGCCGCGAACCGAGCCTGCAGTCGCTTCTGCCAGCACCGCTGTGCACTCGCCCACACATGCTCAGCTTGTTGTGGCTCGCTGGGCCCTTTGGCGCCGTTCCCCAGGGTCCTTCGCCATGCCCAGCACTGCTTCTTGGATTGCATGTCTTGAGTCGGCATGCTCAGCAGGCTTCTTGCTCAGCTTCCTCTGCTTCTTTGACTGCCAGTGCCTTGCTCAGCTTTGCGTCGCTTCGCACCGGCATCTTTGCACTTCTTGGGACGTCTCTCCTTCTTGCAGACGCATTCTGCTCAGCGTGGCCTTCCGCAATCGCACCCAGCCCGAGGATTTTTGTTGGCGCTATCAACAAGCTAGGCCAGGCCCTGCCCCATCAGCAATACCCCGCCTCGCTTGATTCTCGTCAGGCGCCGCCTGGCACTCTGGTCTTCATCGCCCCGCGTTTTCTTTCAGGCGGATTCGACTCTGAGCGTTTGCTGGTTTCAATTCAGAGTCGCGGGTCACTTCTTTAGTTGCTTCTGCACGGCTTCTTTCCGCAGCCTATCTTCAGCAAGCAGAGAAGCACGCACTGCTCTTAGCCAGCTGTACCATTTCACCCCAGCCGAGATTGCAACCCTAGCTTAAGTCCCGCCCCGCCTCTGTTGTCATGTCTTCAGGGTCCGAATGGCTCCGCTACTCCGCTCAGGAACTGCTCCGCAACGCACCGGCTCCTGTGTGGCGCGCCGACGATAGCCCGCCCAGCACTGCATCAGTTTGGTCTAGCACGCCCAGCAGCCTCCGCAGCAGCGTGGTGGCCGCGGCATGTGCCAGAGCCGAAGCATCAGCCTCGCGCCGAGCTGAAGCTTGGCTTGCCTCGCAACGCACCGCCCATGCCGCAGCATCTCCTGCATCGCACAGCTCCAGTTTTGTGGATCTCGCCTTGGAGGAGGATACACTACTGGATCGCCGCATTCTGCACCGCATCTGCTCTGCATCGCTACCGGAAGAGATTCGGGCACTGCACTGCTGCTCCCAGACACTCTGGGAGCAGTGGTTGGAGATACGGCAACGTGAGCATCTCTTTTTGTTCTGCGATTTT